TGAAGTAGGCAAGAATTACCTACAAATTCAGGTTATTACTAGGCGTAATTAAGGAGAGCCATTTTAGATAAAAGAGGTGGCAGGATTAAAAATGTTCTCTTTCTCTATTGTGTCTATGATAACATAGCTCTTATTAGCAAATTTCCAGTATAGTTTACTTAGGAAAATATCTTTTTAAAAATTAGAGTGACAAGTAGGGCGAGATAATATCTTTTATTGGACCAACTTCTGTCCAACAGAAGATATTACCTCACCCACCTTGTCTCTCTAATATCCTGGGATCAACAAGGCTACAACAACACTTTTCAAAATTATTCTTCATTCATAGTGTTTCATTCCTAAACACAGTGTGAAGAATTAAATATGGATTCAATTTAAGTGACCTTCAGCGAACATAAAAGGTGTCAGATTGCACTGAAGATTGGATCCTGTATTTATCCACAAAATAGTGCACAATGAGCAGCAGTATGAGCTTCCCCCATACCATCCTACCAATGTGGAAGGGGCAAGACTAGAGGATATTTCATCTCTATATTCATTAATGTTGGATTTGAGTGGAAGTTGTGGATGTGCAGAACTTTCCAGGATTGAGCTCTAAGTGCTTAGCCTCTGGTAAAACTGTCCACGGAGTGCTAATTAGTGTTGCTTTTTGTTATAGGAACATGTATGTGTCCTTTAGGAACTGGAATGAGACAACCAACTCATTTCACACAGATCACTTAACATCTGTCAGACAGTAATGACTTTCAATGATTACCAATGTAGGGCTATATTCTATTGTGTTTTGCTGGTGTGATGTGAGAGGAAGGTGATAGGAGGAGTGTTTAGGAAGTCTATATGTATAGCCCCATATATATTATGTGTATTTTAATATATGTATGGTAATATAATATTGTAGATAATATATTTTGTGGCATATATATTAGGAACTCCTAATGGACAAAAAAGCACTAAGGAAACGGTGTCCATAAACCATAGCCCCAGTGCGCCTGCATATAAGTCTGTCTTGGTTGATCTGCTTGGCTGTCTCCCTACTATATATGCTACAATCATTACCAACCAGTGCTAGCTGGGTATCCAAAATGCTCCTTTTCATACCAACAGAAATGTGCACCCAATAATGCATTTACCAGACTCACCCCATAAAATCCTGGCAGGATTTTAAGAAGAATCTGCCAGCTTTTCTGCTCCCCATAGAAGCACTAGCCAGCAGAGGACTTGATCCTCAGACTACATATGCACTAATGACAAAGGCTGCATCCCTACTGCCACTGTCCTGAGCCACTGAGTTCCTCCCTGCCCTACCAAAACAGTGAGTTTAGATGAAAACAAAGCAGAGTTTTCTCTTATAAGGTTAGAGGTCATAATAAGTGAAATGTCTGAGCTGACTGTACAAGAACTGCATAGCATGAAATCCTTCTGTTTCATCCACCTAATAAAACTCCAAAGAAAGGATCTTATGGCAGCAAAATGTCTCTTTCAATTTCTGCTCCTCTTTTGCAAGGGAATGAGGAGCTTGACTCTGTCGCTGAGAGAAAGCATTGGAATTCAGTTGCTGTCTGTGCTTTCTTAAAATGCCTGTTTTTAAAGCATCAGTGTAAAGGATGGGATCTGAGTGGGACTGGGGTACATTTCATACCAGGGAAGTGCAGAACTATTTTGAAATGCATTCCCTACAAAAATGGTGAAAAGTTGTACCAGCATATAAGGAAATGTGTGCTGCATGCGGATCTGTGTCCTCAAGCTGCAGTCATTAACTATTGATGGTGTAAGCGGCAGCTCTGTTGATAAACGGCAGGTCTTTTTCACAAACAGCTGTGTGCACTACAGAGACTTCCTGCTGAACCACACATTTTCAGATATTTAAAGCCTCGTTAATAATGTGGGTTTGAAATGCACAGCAGTGAGGGGTGGGAAGAAACTTCGGATGGAAAGAAGGACCACTTTGAGCAGTACCAGGATGCTGGGGGGAGGGGGAGATGTATAAATGGTTAGATCAGCTCCCCAATAAATAGGATCCTTGTTTGAGAATTTCAACTGTGCATAAAAAGCAGGTGGGTGACTTTCAATGGTCCTCTTCTTTCTGCCAACTCATTTCAATTAAAAACAGTGGGAAGCTACTTTTAGTTTTATTCATGAGGTTGAAAAATGAAATTGCAAGCAGGGCTACGAAATTGCTGGCATCCGCTTCATCTCCCCACCTATTTCAATTTAATTCAAAGCTAAACTGCAGGGATTGGCACCTGAAGGTTAAAAGAACAATCAACCTGTTGGGTTAATTTGGTATCTCCGTCTATTTTCATTTGATTGTCATTTATTTTTGATTGAAAGATTCCAAATGCATTACAAAAACCCCTGTAAAGTGGAAATATTCCATTAAAGGATTTCATTTACAACTTGTGCTGGACATGAAACCAGGTCTTCAAAAGTTAAAGTTAATTTTGGTCTTCAAAAAGTCCTAATATTGAAATAGCATCTACTGATATGATCAGGAGATTCTTATTTCAGATAATTATACGGCATATTGGAAATAGGAGGAAATGTATTTCTGACTGCATAAGTCTAACGCAGATCTTGTCTTTTTTAATACTGGAGTTTTTAAAAGGCAGTGGAACCCACTTATAATTAATTCAGGTAGAGTGAAACACAATGTATAGTGAAGTAGAATAAAAGCCTCATATTCTTTTAAAACCTACCAAGGCACAGTTGCATATAATGTGGGTTTGAAAGAAGAATGCACAGAAGTGAGGGGTGGGAAGAAGGCCCACTTTGAGCAGTACCGGCTTTCATATATACAGATGTTAACAAAACTGTGAAATTGTCAGTTGTATTCAGAGATGAATTAAAATTCTAGGTAGACTCAAATTGCAACTGAAAAGGATCTTCTTCTCATTTATACTTAAAATGAGTGTAAGTGTAATTTACATGAACTCTCAGACCACTTTACACTGCCAGAGCAGCGTGAAGAGGTTTAAGTGCAAGTGAAAATCAAGCATAAAGTGTTTATAGCTGATTCACTTTACAGTAAGCTGTCAGTGCTTACAGAACCCCTTTGATCTTTGTAAAATCTAGTGACTGAATCTAGGTTGTTTTTTTAAGAATGGTAAAGAAAATACATAGAACTAAGTTTGAGCTGAATATCATTTTACAAAACTTGGATAAAAACAATTAAGCTTTTTTCTTCTCCCTTGGGTTTTGCAATAAGGCTAAATACAGTTGGACTGTTTATTTAGATTTTTTTAAAAAACAAAACAAATTAAATCTCTGGTGCTAGACTCATTTGTTCAAAATACCAGTTTAAGGTTGTCTTTATTTCTGGTGACCATTAGTGTCATTCTCTGAATGCTCTGTATGATAGGAATTTGGGTAACAGAAATTATGAGAATAGACTATAAATCAAGATTGTTCTTCCTTAGGAAGAGAGGGGAAACCTCCTTTCTCATCCCTTTCTTTAGTATTGTTAGAAGAAAGAGGGGAATTGAGGAAAAACTTGAACGCCCAATAGAAATTCTGAAAGTAAAGGAGAATGAATCTCTAAGAAACATACGCAAGTCTGGTTGTCTAGTTGGAAATTCCTGTTCTTGTGATGGACTTTGGAATCCAGAACATTCACACACCAACAGGAAGGACTGGAAGGAAGAAAAGTTGACAGACTCTGGGTGGGATTTTCAAAAGCACTCAGCATTGATCTGATTCTGCTTCCACTGAAGTCAAGCTAAAACTCCCATTGATTACGGCGTGAGCAGAACTCACCAAGAGAGTACTCTCAAAATCCTACTCAGAAAGTCTATATCAATTTACCACTCTTTTTGACCAGTAGTTTCTAAAGGACATAAGGAAAGAGAGAGGTAAGGAGAATTATTTGAATTGGAGTTTGTCTGAGAAAACTTCCTTAACATGAAAAGCCTGTGTATAAAACAATCAGCCTTCCAGGTATGCAGTAGCTAGGGAGAAGAAAAGGAAAGCATCGTAGACAATCAAGGAAACAGGTTAACTATGATTGCATACTGCACTGATTTGTCTATCTTTGGTTATTTCTAGCTGTGACAATTTCTACCCCTGAGCTTTATTTTTTTAGACAATGATTTTTCTTTCCTGTGTGTGGTTTTGAATGAACTCCTTGAAATAGAAAAGAACTACTTCAAAAATGTCAGACCAACGTGTTTGGTGGATGGGCAGAAATTGTTTGTTTAAAGAATGACCTATATGCTTGTTGCTAGATTATATCTTGGTGAATGTTATGCTTTTGGACCACGTGATTATTCCACATTGCTATTGACAAAATTAGAATAAATTAAGCTGTGTAGTAGTTTTGAGTGCTGCAAAACAAATTCTGTGTGCCACCTCAAAGTGGGTACATTTCATTGCTGGTGAAGTTACTGCTTACCTAGCTAACAGGGTAGTTGAGGCTGACATAATGTTTGCAAAGCACTTTTGAGATTAAACAAACTATATAAAATAACAGTATATTGTTCTACTTCAGTATAAATGGAGTTTCTGTATATTTGAGCTCACTTTAAGCAGATTCTACATATATTTGCGACATCTGCAACAGCACATCTGGCTATCATCACAGCTGTGAAAAAAATTGTGCTTTTGTTTTTTGTTTTAAGAAACTCCATCAGCTCTAAAGCATAGGGAGAGTTTAATTAAAGCCATTTAAAGAAATCTGTAAGGAAAAGAAATATCATAGGTGCTTAAGTATGCTGTTTTTATTCTGAGCTCATGAAATCTGTCTCCCATACTGAACTAACTGTCAGATGAATCACAGTTAAATACACAGTGATGAAGGAGTTCATAGAAAGCCTCTTGGAGTGGAGGTGTGGGCTCCCTTTAACACTCTTCTTTGTATAGAAATTATGGTTCAAATCCTGCTCACTTTACTAATAAAAGTATTCCACTGATAGTGTCACTGTTTACATAATCAAGGCATTAACAGTGAAGGTTTGGCTCTGCGTCATGCAAATGAGAGCTCTAATTTTCCTTCTTCTGTCCAACAGGAGGAGAAGTTCCTTATACAACACTGGCAACACGAATGATGATGGGTGCCTGGTGGCTTTTTGCTTTGATTGTCATCTCATCTTACACAGCAAACCTAGCAGCTTTTCTCACAATCACTCGCATTGAGAACTCCATCCAGTAAGTGGACAAAGAACAGATGGTGGGTGGGTGTGTCTGTGTGGGTGTGTAAGTATATGAAAAGGTGGAAACTCTGAGAAAAAACACTCTTTAGCCAATATTCTTTGGGGCAGAATGTCTCGCAGATCAATCTAACTGGTAACTTACTGCAAGCTAATTACTTTTCTCAGGCATAAAGAAGTTTATGTCCCTTAGACGTGTATATATATTCTAAAGGAAATTGTTACTGTCTAAAAGGTTTGAGGAAGTAGAACCTGGAGCAGTTATTTAATGTCTGTGGTTGTCAGACGTCCCCCACGAAAAGGTGCCATTATATCAGTGTTTGAAATGGAAAAATAAGTATTGAAGTGCTCCCCCTCCACACTCTCCAGTTGTAATCAGCCCCAAGAGTCTGTATCCTGACCCTTTCATGGCAGTTAGTCAAAGAGTTGGCTGTTTCTGACGGTTTAAAATAAAATTTCCCCTTTTCTGCCAGGGAAATGCAATCAAATGTGTTAATATGAATGAATAAATAAAATTAACAGTCCCATTCTCTCCTTCATTTAGACCCATTCTCTCCTTCATTTTAAGCTCGTATTTTTGTCATATCAATTTCCTCACACTTTCTTCTTGCGACCTATCTGCTACTTTCTCCTTTCCCTTTGTATTTACTCTCCTTTTCCTCTCTGCATCTCCACATCTTATTTCTCTGTCTCCCTCCCAGGATTGTTCGTGTCTTCCCCTGTCTAAGAGTAGATCTATACTGCATTCTGAGGTGTGGTTGCAGCCTGGGTAGACATACCTGTGTTTGCAAGGATAAAAATAGCAATGCTGATACTGCAACACAGTCTTCAGGTGAAGACTGCACCACGAGTACATACCTAGGGGCCACAGAATGCTTTCACAGCCCACACTTCAGCCTGGGCACCTGTCTATAGAGTGCTATTTTAGCTGTACTAGCATGGCTAGAGCTATCACAGGTATGTCTACCCATGCTTGGTCACACCTTGGATTGCAGGGTAGGCGTACCCTTGGTTACTATTAGCTGTCTTTCCATCTGACCCCCTGTGATGGGTTAGATCACAGAACCCCCTTTGGGAGTTGCCACCTGATGTGCCAAGACTACTTCTGCTCCTGCTTTCCCTGCCATGCTCGGGACCCCAGCATCCTGTCTTGCTGAGCCAGACATGCCCATCTGCTCCAACACAGACCCAGGGCCTGAATTACTTGCCCCAAAGCTGCAGACTTAACTGAAAGCAGTTTACAGAAGTGTTCTTGTCTTTAACACTCAGATGCCCAACTCCCAATGGGGTCTAAAACCCAAATAAATCCATTTTACCCTGTATAAAGCTTATACAAGGTAAACTCATAAATTGTTTGCCCTCTATAACACTGATAGAGAGAGATGCACAGCTGTTCCCCCCCCCCCAGGTATTAATACATACTCTGGGTTAATAGGTAAAATGTGATTTTATTAAATACAGAAAGTAGGATTTAAGTGGTTTCAAGTAGTAACAGACAGAACAAAGTGAATTACCAAGTGAAATAAAATAAAACACGCAAATCTAAGCCTAATGCAGTAATACAATTGAGTACAGATAAAATCTCACCCTCAGAGATGTTTCAATAAGTTTCTTTCATAGACTGGACGCCTTCCTAGTCTGGGCACAATCCTTTCCCCTGGTACAGCCCTTGTTTCAGCTCAGGTGGTAGCTAGGAGATTCCTCATGATGGCTCCTCCTTTGTTCTGTTCCACCCATTTATATATCTTTTGCATAAGGCAGCAATCCTTTGTCACTCTCTGGGTTCTCCCCCCCCCCTTCTTAATGGAAAGACACCAGGTTAAAGATGGATTCCAGTTTAGGTGACATGATCACATGTCACTGTAAGATTTCATTACCCACTTGCCAGCACACACGTATACAGAAAGACTTACAGGTAAAACAGAGCCATCTGCAGTCAATTGGTTAATAGGAGTTATCAAGATTTCAAACCACCATTAATGGCCCACACTTTGCATAATTACAATAGGCCCTTAGAGTTATATTTTATATTTCTAGTTTCAGATACAAGAATGGTACATTTATACAAATAGGATGATCACACTTAGTAGATTATAAGCTTTGTAATGATACCTTACAAGAGACCTTTTGTAAAAAGCATATTTCAGTTATATTAGCATATTTTTATAAAATTATATAAAATGCAAGTCACACCTCCCATCTCCTTTTTCAAGTCTCCCTATGTATTTCTCTCTCCCTCTTACCATAGGAACCTTTATCTCTACTTTACTCCTCCTCTGTTCTTCAAACTCATGACTCCCTCCACAAACAGCACTCCATGTATCATCATCTCCCACCAAAATCGCTGACTCTCTTCTTACCAAAAAACAGAAACTGTATATGCGAGGGAAGGCAAAGATTTTGGAAAGACTCAGAGACTTTGATGAAGAAGGGGGGGGAACATAGTCTCTTACCCCCATACAAAATGTCTGTTCCCTCAGGAAGGGAGCCCCTATATGTCTCCCTCCCCCGACCCCCGCAAGAACATGTCTCTTCCCAACCCCCTATAAATATCTGTCTGATTTTGTTCCTTCTCCAAATGTCACTCTGCCTCCCCTTCCATGACCCCACCACTAATTTTGCCTCCCCGTTCCTTCATCTCCCATACAAGAAGGGAGTTCTAGCCAGCCCTGCTTACTGGGAGACCACCACCCATTCTTGGTAGCAGGGCTCAGTTCTTAGGGCCAGGTGGCTTTGTCATATATCTGCCTGGAGAGAGAGGGGATGATGAGACCTTTCTGTAAATCCTTGGTTTGGATAGGGAGGAATAGCTATTAAGAAGAGCTGTACATGCAGCTATATGCCTTTCCAGGGAGAAAAGGAACAGCTGGAGAGTAAGCAGGTGCTGGGGTGTACTGGAGATGGGCTTGAATCAGAACCCCAGATCAGAATAAGTGATAAACTGGAGAGGGTTCTGAGAAGAGAATGATTAAAGGATTGGAAAGCATGTCATATAATTAAGGACTCAAGGAGCTCAATCTATTTAGCTTAACAAAGAAGAAATTAAGGGGTGACTTGATCAGTCTGTAAGTACCTATGTGGTTAACAAATATTTGATAACGGGCTCTTCAGTCTAGCAGACAAAGGTATAACACAATCCAGTGGCTAGAAGCTGAAGCTAGACAAATTCAGACCGGAAATAAGGCGTACATTTTAATTAACCATGAGAACAATTTACCAAGGATTGTGGTGGATTCTTCATCACTGGCAATTTTTAAATCAAGATTGGATCTTTTTTCTAAAGATATGCTGTAGTTCAAACAGGAATTAATTCAAGGAAGTTATAGGCTGTGTTATGCAGGAGGTCCGACTAGATGACCACAGTGGCCCCTAATGGCTAGAACTTGCTTAGAATCTATTAAACACTCCTGAATTTAGGGAAAATTCAGATTTCTCTCTCTTTTTGAAACCAAAATTTGTGACTCAGGCTCATCGTGCCTATGTACCGTTATGATCATGCTGCACAATGTGTCCTACTGTGCATACAAACTCATCCAAACTGCATTATATAATTGCTTAGGTCAAATTAAAATCTTCTTTTGATATTTGAATGTTAAATGGTGAGATCTCTGGTTGCTGAAGAGGTGCTTTGGCAGAACTGAAATGTTAGACTCATTGGGGGGTAAGCTTGGGCTGTTGATCTGTTAATTAGTAAAGGATCTCAGCTGTTTTTTTTAAAAAAAGATATTTCTTTCAGTCTTACAGGACAAAAACAAAGTGTCAATAAATTGTTCTCTCAACCACGCTTGTTTGCACACTAGAGTATGGTAAAATGATATTTCAGTGTGGTGTCAGCTTTGATCTTCACAAATAAAAATTTCATTTTTAATAAGCCTTAAGGGACATGTTGCCAAAACAGGGTGAAAAAAATCCAAATTTGTGCGCACACAGGCATTTACACTGGCAACATAGATAAATGTGTGCATGTGCCATTTGTGTGCTCAGTCACTCAACTTGTGCTCATAAATATGATTTTTTTTTGTGCCTGCAGCCACTGCATCCTGCTTTGAAATTGTCCTGAATGCTTCTGAAATGCTCAAGAAAAATGTTCCAATCAATGCAAAAAATGGCTGTGAGCTTTCTTACCATACATAATAAGAATAAAATATATCTAAATAGTAATATAATATTACAGTTCCATTTCCAGTCTGCTCTTGTAGTTCATTATGATGTCACTAGAAATCCTCAATGGAATTCTGAAGTTATTATGTACAGTTGGGTGTACATTGGTCTGGGTACTGTATTATTTATAGGTAAAATTCACTGAAATGTTTTATTCAGTGGAACATGTTGCAGCTGGAAAGCTCCTGAAATGAAAGAAGAGAGACATTTTTCAACAGTGTTGGTAGGTCAGAATTAGAGTAATTAGATGTGCTAAGTATCCATTGGGGAATGAAGTTATCCTAACTATGGTGGGAGTGTAAAACTTTAGTTTACAAAACTGCTCAAAATTGGGAAGCAAACCAGCACTTAGCACAGAGGCTGTTAGTTTATCACAATGAATAATTGCAAAGAGGGAAATAAGCAACACAGGAAAAACAAGATCATCTTTTTTTTTTAACAGATCAAATTATACCCTGGGTGAGCTTGCAAGGCCAGAGTGGAAATGGGTTTAAGTATGTAAAGAAAATAAGCCAAATTCTGCTTGCAATTACATCCATCCAACACCAATGAAGTCACTAGAATGAAAGGGATTGAAGTCAATGGTTTTGCCTGGATGTAACTTCAGAGAATTTAACCATTAACTTTGACCCATTACGCTAGCTAGTGAAATCTCCACAAGTACTAGAAGGACCCAAAGTCAGAATTATCTAGAGCAGGGAAACTGGTTCAAAGAAAAAAGAAAAAAGCTGGACTTACCATCACCAATTTTAGACCAAAACTCTTAACAATACCCTTTGTGGTTCTAAAATATGCAACTTGTTTCCAATTCAAGTTTCCAGCTAGGACTAGAAATGA